CAGCCCCCCTGCTTGGAGCCACTAGACCCCACTCCCCTCCCAGAGCCAGGGAGAGAACCCAGGTGTCCTGGCTCCCAGCCCCCCTGCTTGGAGCCCCTAGACCCCACTCCCCTCCCAGAGCCGGGGAGAGAACCCAGGAGTCCGGGCTTGCAGCCCCCAGGCCCGGCTCACCTGCCGGAAGAGCAGCCCCTGGCGCTGGGCGCGGCGGGTGCAGTAGGGTCGCAGGGGCAGGGCCCGCCGGGCAGCGGCCGCGGCCGGGCAGCTCCGGGACAGCCACATGTCGGGGTCGCGGGGGCTGCGCTGGTGCCAGCTGCGGGGACGGGCCCTTTAAATGCCAGGGGTTGGGGAGGACGGGAGGGGGCGGGGACAGGGAGCCCGGAGCCCTTAAAGGGACAGCTGCACATGGGGGGGAGCTGGGTCCGGGGACATAGAGATGCCTCTGACATAGGGAGGAAGGGTAGCACCCACACAGACACAACACACACTAGGGAAGATTAACACAAACAGATACACACACTAGGGAAGTTTAATACAAGCAGATACCCTTCCCTAGTGTAACACCCACACAGAGACACGTGCATAGAGATATGGAGTGCCACACATGTACACGCGGCGATATAATTACACACAGGGTTCCAGATACACACACACGGCCCTCTCACAGACACGCACACACTCCCTGTAATACAATTATACACACAGCAGCCCTGGCACATGCACACACACATACACACAGATAGAGATACAATTCAACACACACTGGGTTACACACATACCCAGAGTCCCCCTCTCTGTCTCACAATGCACACAGGGTTACACTTACACACACACAGCCACTCTGGGCTACAGTCACGCTGGCATACCCCAGGTGCACCAAGAACAAGACACAAGCACTCACAGGCCAGCCTCTTTGGAAACACACACTCACACACAGTAAAGAGTTACCCCCTGCAACCTGTTAGTTGCACCGGTTTGTTATTGTAGGGTCTTCCAAGGACATTAGCAAACAGATGGAAGAGGGTATAACGCTGGGCCCACAGCTACAGATCAAGACCCCTTTAAATATGCAAATGAAGGTCACAACCCCCCCATACACATCCTATCCTGATTGGTCCATTCTGCAGGACAGCTCCCGGGCTGGTAGTTTCATTTCCTGTTCATCTTATTAACCCTACAAATACCAAATAGAGGGGAGGCCGCATCACCTAGTGGAAAGAGGGCGGGGGGAGGGGGTGTTGGAGCCAGGACTCCTGGGTTCT